CCTGGTAATCAGCAATACCTGTCCTATCATGCAATCAATCAAGTTTCCTATTACGCCTGGTAATCAGCAATACCTGTCCTATCAGACAATCAATCAAGTTTCCTAACACGCCTGGTAATCAGCAATACCTGTCCTATCATGCAATCAATAAAGTTTCCTATTACACCTGGTAATTAGCAATACCTGTCCTATCTTGCAATCAATCAAGTTTCCTATTACGCCTGGTAATCAGCAATACCTGTCCGATCAGACAATCAATCAAGTATTGGTAAGAATATTGCTTTCCTTTCCCATATCAAAGAATCCTCTACACCACATGTATACACATCTATAGCTATTCTAATGTATTACACTAATTAGCTCAAACAACATCATTCAAAGCTTCTGATAGTGAATGACTTATATAAAGAAACTATATAATTAGATTTTATATTAGATAAATATCTAAAGCTAGTGTGAAACATAAAAATGTAATTATCTTAAAAGCATATTAAAATTATCTTTCTATAGTTTCCCTCCTGTAGACCCTCTATTTACGTAATACCCTGAAATCTGTGTAAGAACAAGAAAGGCACACATCAATGTGCAATCACTTCACTCCAGCATGCTACTGGCCAAATATCATCACCCTGGGCATTTTGGTTTTTCAGAAGAAGTTGTTTAAAGTTTTTTTAACATATTTGACCCCTGTGACCTTGAATATGGGTGAAGGTTATTCATTTGAGCAGACTTTGTAGCCCTTCATCTCAGCATGCTTCTGGCCAAATATCACCCTGGGCATTTTGGTTATTCAGAAGAAGTTGTTTAAAGTTATTAACATATTTGACCCCTGTGGCACGAATGGTGAGCTAAAAATGTAATTATCCTAAAAGCATATTAAAATTATCTTTCAATTGTTTCCCTCCTGTAGACCCTCTATTTACGTAATACCCTGAAATATCGGTGTAAGAACAAGAAAGGCACACATCAATGTGTAATCACTTTTGTTTTTTACCTAGACATAACCTTCCATGTTGTTTATCATTTTAAAAGCTAGGACATGATATGGAATACATCCTGTACTTATGATCAATCGTCAGGATGGCAGTGATCTACTTTTGTGTCTTTTTTTATTTTGCACACTACAGAAAATGATAAAAGGATATCTTCATATACCTAACACCTAATAAATTTTACAATCAGAGCTAGGATATATTTTCACTGTTTTCCAAATCCTATTACCGTTGTCATACAAGATTTGTATCTCCCATGGGATAAGTACCTGGATACCAAAACTGGCCAAAGGATAAGTACCCGGATACAAAAACTGGCCAAAGGATAAGTACCCGGATATAAAAACTGGCCATAGGATAAGTATCCGATTACAATAAATGGCCATAGGATAAGTATCCGGATACAAAAACTG